TGGAGGAGATGGAGGTGTCGTAGGTGTGTAGGAGAAATCGGGAGCTGAGGGTGGTGCTTGTGGTGGGAGGGCTGCTGCGGTAGGAGGTGAGTGGACAGGGGAAAGAGGTGGTAGCGTGTCGGCGGGTGAAGTAGGTGTGGGAGAAGGCGGTGGAACAACAGTTGTGGGCTTGTGTGGAGCTTCCTGAAGTTCTTCCCAGCGTGCTTTGCACTGTTCAATTGAGAATCCCACTCTGCGAGCAACATGGTTCCAGTTCGGCCGCAAGCGGGTATCAGTCTTTAGTTCGACAAGAGGCGAACGTCAGCGTCGCCATCCAGCGTCGCCATCCCAGGCATCCCAATCAGCCTCTCCGTTCAAAGGTGGTGGAGGCTCGCGTTTCTTCTTGGGTGGCAGTGGTGGTGGTGGGGAGGTAGAGGTTGAGGATGCTTGTGAGGCAGCCTTTGGTGGTAGTGCATGTCTGATGGGAGCAGTGGGAGCCGAGTCACAGGATGAAGTGGGAGAAAGAATAGGAACTGCTGTGAGGGGAGCCGGAGGTAGTGGCGGAAAAGGCCGTTGGAATTGGGGGTCCACTTGTCGGGTGTGAACCAGGTAAAGGCTCTAAAGGTTGGCAAGGATGTCGGTTGCTTGTTGGAGAAGATTATGGAGTTGGGCGAGGGCAATCGTGGTGCGTTGGAGGAGTCGAGTTGGATCTGTAGCAGAATGCATCTCATTCCACAGTTTCAGGGATCAAGCGGCTGAGGCGGCAAGCAGCAGCGGCGGGCGGCAGGCGCGGCGCAGGCGTCAGCACTTCATGAGCGGCCGGTGCATACAAACGGAGCGTGCAAATGAATTACCAACATGAATTATTGAGCACGAATTTTGCAGGAAATAATGGCAGAATTGAGATCACTCAACGGAAATCTGCCGCGGGTCATCATAAAAGAAACCAGGAGGTTCAAAGTAAATACATGTGGAAGCGGCAGTCGGCAAGTGACTAAGTGGTTGATGAATGCCATGTTTCTCAAAATCAAGCTGAGTGGAGAATCCAAATAAACACGAAGACTGACAGTATGTTCTATTGGCGGAAACTGAAAAAGTGACTGTACAAATAGATTGACAACCGAGGCATGTGATCGCAGCGGACTGCACCAAAAGATGTAGCTCAGGTTTTGCGAAGCCGGTGGTAGCTGTGGCAAGTGAAACGTGGTGAGAAGCCTCTCTCAAGTGTGGTAGGTTGGTGTTGATGTTGAAGAAGTTGGTGTGTGGTGAAGCCTCAAAGGTCCGGTGGGGTTGCATTGATGGACCACGCCAGTCCCTTGACAATGGCGTTATGCGGGTGAATCACCCAGCAGCGGGCTTTGGAATGGCAAACTGCGCCATGGCCTTGTTGTAAAAGGCGCATGGCCTGGGCTTCACCACCGCTGGTGAATTTAGTGCCTCTGCCCCAGGCGAGGAGGTGGATCATGATAGAATGGATGTTTTTTGCGAGTTTCCAGGTGTTGTGCAGTATTCTGGCTTGCTCGTAGTTGTCGTGTACGGATTGGTGGGTAATGCGTGTAGCTTGGGCGAAAAAGCCTGGATTAGCATCGAAGTGGAGGGTGCTGGGCAGAAGACGGCCCTGTTGTAAAATGGCGGTGATGTTGCCGTAGGGGCCTGTGGGGCGGCGTGAATGTGGACCGTCTCTGGGGAAGTGGAAGTGGCACGGGTGGCAGGTGGTGGTAGTGGGCGAACGGCCTTGTCGACCAGATTGGGAATGTTGATACAGTGGTAGGAAAAGGTGTCGTAGGTGTTGGTGTCGTCATTCCACTTCACATGGGTGAGTTGTCGGAAATCTGCCAAATCGTCGTAGGTATAGCCACTGTCGGCAAGTAGTTTGGCGACAAATGCATGTTGTGGTTTGTTGTCTGCTAACAGTTGTGTAGCGTGAAAGTCGAGCCACCCTTGGATCTGTTCTTGGTGTGAGAGTCGGTGAAAATGTGGTGGAGGTGGTTGCCAAGGTGGGTGAGGGCGTCGTAGCGCTGGGATGTTGGGAAAATCTGCATGGGACATGTTGGTGATCTGGTGGTGAGGTGTGGATTGTTGATTGGGGCGTAGGGTGATGGGTGGATGGGAGCGGCTGCGGGAGCGGTTGTCTGAGGTGGTGGAGGATGAGGTTGAAGGGGAACGGCGACGCCGATGGCGCGCTGATGAGGCTTTAGCAGTGGAGGTTGGAGCCGAATGATGTTTTCTGGTACGCCGGTCGCGTGTGCGGCGACTGTGGCGGCGGTGACGACGGCGACTGCGTCCTTTGCTGCGGTGGGTTCGGTGAGTAGCTGCATGAGAAGCAGGTGGTGAATGGGCAGTGCCCGAATGAGCCGATGGGGCATCTGGATTGTGGGTGTGGGATCGCTTGTGAGATCCCGAATGTGGCCTCGAACGTGCTTCCGGTGGTGGTGGCGGTGGTGGAGGTAGTGATGGGGCTGGCCGTGGCGGTGTAGCAAGGTGAGTGGTTGGTGATGTGGAAGAAAGTGTGCCTGCCGTGGTAGTGGTGGCTGGTTGAGATGTGGCTTCGTGGGGATTTGCTGATGGCGGTGCGCTCGGAGCACCAGGAGCTGGTAGTGCAGGAGCGGGATCTGAAGGAGCAGTAGTGATGGAGGCTGACGGTTGATGTGGAGTCGGTGAGGGATGAGTCACTGGTGGGAAAAGGGAGTAAGGCTGCCAAACGCCTTGAGATTGATCCCAGTGCATGGAAGTCGGGGTTGGTGGCTGCTGAGTTTGCGGAGCGGATAGTGCTGGTGGTGCATGTTGTGGAGAAGCTGGATGGTGTAGAGATTGTGTTGGCATTGGCTCAAATGATTGGATCTGAGGTGGTGTCGGAGAGGTCTGTGCATGAGACACGAAAGTGGGCACCGGTGGAGGGTGCGTTGGCATGTGATGTGGCCAGGTGGAAACTGGCTGTTGCGGCTGAGTGGTGTGGAACTGAGGTAAGATCGGTTGTAGCTGTGGTTGGGGTAGGACTGTAGGGAGATGTGCTGTTGGCGGAGGATGGTGCCATGACAGCAGCTGAAATGAGAAAGTTAAAAGGTTGGTAAAATCGGAGCCTGAGTGGATGTGCAGTGAAGTAAGGTGGTGAAAACCTGGCATGTAATGCAGTCTCTGAGATCTGTGGTGTGGAACCTGCGAAAGCTGAGCATTCGTCAAATGGCTGCGGTTAAAAGTTGATAGAGAAGACAATGCACAAACGGAGAGAAATCAGAATTTGTTGGTGGGAATTCCATCGTTTATAGCCCGGCGGCTCGAAAATCAGGAAATTCAGAAATAAAGTTGAACAAATGGAAAGGCAGTTATAAAAATGGAAGGTCGGTGATTTCCGGTATGATTTCAGCGCCTCCTTTCGGAGGGTCACACCCAGTACCCACGTGGGAAGACTGAGCGGTCCACACTTCGAACTTTGTTTTCAGTTAGACTCAATTGCCACGATGGGAAGGATGGCGGTGGAACAGCATGGCGAAAAGTCCGAGAAATTGTAGGTGTTTGAACAATGGTTGTTTCCCTTGACTGCGGTGACGAAGCGGCTCAAGCTGCACCTCTGCTGGGGAGGAAAAGGTTTAGGGGCAGGTATCATGAAAAACCATGGAAACAAACCAAGCAGATTAGACAGCGTGGTCAAAAGTTTCGGTTGCAGGTACACAGGGATGATCAGTCCCTGCTTCCCCTTCTTGTCCACAGCTTCGTTGCGTGTGGTAGGACCAGAAGGGCACACGCCCCTGCTGCATGAAAACGAGGGAGGAAAGTGGTACGTGTCTCAGTTGCAGTGGAAGGTAAGAGAGTGGAAACCCTTAGAATCAGGGCGTGACACACACACACATATATATATATACATATATATATATACATATATATACACATAACATTACAGCATACTCACGTAAAATCCAACCTACTATATGTCAATATCTCTGTCGCTCATGCGTGGGTGCTCGGCAGCAACGGAGCTCGCACAGGTCCCGGCGGGCAAGGTCCGCCGCGCGTCTCACAGCTCTAGCCGAAGTCCACCGTCGGACAGCGGCTCTACATGGATCTCGGATTGAGTCCGGAATGCGAAGCCGGACCCCGAAACAAGGAAGAAAAACAATAAAACAATGTATTATAAGTAGTAGTAGTAGTAGCAGGAGTAGTAGTAGTAGTAGAAGCTCCGGCGCTTAGCCTTACCATGCGAAATGGCGACAGTGAGCCTGAAAGGCGGGCATCCTAAAGAGGCAAGTGAAAAAATTGAATTACAAAAAAAGAAATACTACAAAACCCTATGAACGCTATTAGACAGCAAGCCCTTTTACTGACTGTAACTGACGATGGGATAGACTGAATCCGCCGGCCCTGGGGCACGGCGTGTTTTGGGTAGTTGGTTTTTTGTTAGTTCTTTGTTAAGCTATGTCTTGTCCGTTTTAGTGCTCCCCCGGGCGGATTTTTGAACGCCCCCCCTCCCCCCCTTCCCCCTTGAAAGAAGCCCCCTAGCTTTGCCGTGCAGTGTAAATAAGTAGTAAGTAGAAAATTGGAAGTTGGAAGTAGAAAGTAGGGAGCAGGGAGTAGTAAGTAGTAGGTAGCATGCCACGTGTACAGCGCAAAGCAGACCTTTTACCTACTGTTGTGTCAGCCTTGCGCCCTTATCTGCATAAATGTCACTGCTTCTCCGGATTGGCTGCATGTGACCACATCCAGTTTGACTTCTACTCTTGCAGTCACCCCTTCTCGGCCAACGTATGTGTGGATGTGTAGATATATAAAAATATGTGTGTATGTGTATGTGTATGTGTTGGTAGATATGCTCCCAATAACAATAGATGTGCTGATCACCGGAAGCTGAAAAACAGAATAAAACATAGTAGCTCAAGTGGTGATTCATTTCTACGCTTGAAATATTCAGGCTTTCAGGCCCACCTTAATATCGTAATTGCAAGCTGCACCTAAAACCAACAGGCAACACACGCAGCCACCCTAGAAAAATCACTTGTGCCTGCGTGGTGTATTGTCATTGCACTGTCCTGCAGAACGCGGGTGAACAGGTCGTACGTACGCAAGTCCCTCACCTTGGCCACGATGCGGCAAAGTCTGTGCGCGGACAGCAATTTATGACAAGTAAAAAGAATGGTTTCTTGCAAACAGCCAAGCAGCTTTGGAGAGCTGCGACGACACAGCTTCAGTCTCTTTGCGCAAAAAGTCTGCGCCGCGATCTGCCCCTGGCACTTGGACTCGGGTCGGGCCTCCAAACATAGGTATTATAGATGATGTATATAGATTCTTGTGTACCGGCCTAGACTTGTCCAGGTCCAGGCAACCAAAGCTTTTTTAGACCAGGTCCAAAGCTTTTTTGGGGAGCTTTGTCTACGCAGGGCCTGAAAAGCGATGAAAACTGGAAGTCCTTTCGGGGGGGAGGGCAAACAGACATATTGGAGATATCGTGAGACGTGAGACTATGATTTTGGTGGCGGTGTTTAGTGTTCCACCTTGGAACCTGGCTGGTGTTGATCTGTTTGCACTTTAGATTTTGCAGTGTCCAGGTTTGAGGCTGACTTGACCTGCTTTGTCATTTGGGCACAGTCGGGTTTCAATGCAGTCCAACAGTAGAATGCGGTTGTGCTTCGCTCTCTGGGAGTGGCGCGCAGTTTGTCACTGGCGCCCCCATCATTCCTCTCTGGAATTCTGAATGCTGTTTTGCTGTCGAATGGCGCCATGCAACCTTGGAACCCTGGGCGCCGTCATCTTGCTGTGTTCAGTTCTCAGCTTCGGCACTTGTCGCCGCAGCGCCAAACTTCTTTTGCACTTGTGGTGTGCCTTGTGCTTCCGTTGTGGAGCCTCCCTTCTGCGCGCCAATACCAAAGTTAGATGCGCAGCAATGCCGCAAGCAGTTGCGTATACCTACCAGTCGTTTCTGCGCAACAGCCTTTGCACTTCGAGGGGGCTTCCTCGCGAGCTTCTTTGAGCGAGAGCGTGCGCTACGAAGCAGTCTTTCTACGCAGAGCGAAACACGCATCCACGGGCAGCTTTTGCACTTGTCTTGTGACGCGCGCATGTTTCTGTTGCGAAGCAATTTCTTTGCGCACCATACAGCTGTTCCGACAGGCAGTTGCGCGTACCTAGGAGGATGTTGCTGCGCGGCAGCAGCTTTTGCACTTGCGGTGTGCCTCCTGCCCGTGTTGCTTCAATCCTTCCTACACACACGCAGCAACGCCACAGGCATGTGCATGCAACTAGCAGGATGTTTCTAAGCCGCCAAACAACTTATATACTTGTGTCGCGCCTTTTGCCCCCGCCGCAACGCATTCAATCTACGCCGCGCAAAAAACGTTCTTATGCGCAGCTAGATGGACACGCCTTTTTGCTCGAAATAACGTTTTTGTAGCTCTGATGCGCTTTCCTCCCGCCTGCTCCTCAGCTCCTGGACCACAGTTCCTGCTCCCGTTGGAGCTTTAGCGATAAATAGTTGAAAAGTTCTAGTCGGCTTGCTACCTGGGTTGCAGGCTGGGTTAATGTGAAAACACGCTAACAACTCAACGCAATCCAACACCCCTTTTTGCCCTATAACTTCTTAAGAAGTCTTAAGACTTAAGACTATATATATATATATATAAAGACTCCCTGCTCTCCACTCTTTTCTGGCCCGCAATGCAAGACCTAAGTGGTCATAAGAAATGAAATTACGCAACTGCAGAAAACACTTTGAGGCCCCCTGCCTCGGACCCCCCCATCTTTCCCCCGCCTAACCGGGGTGAAAGAAAGCCAAGGGTCACAGGGTGGTCCCAGGCCCCGCCTAGCCGGGGAACGAACGTCTGGGCCACCACCCTTTCAGTTTCGTTGTTTCTCTTCTTTTCCGCCGGCGGTCCAAATTCGAAGAAAAAGAATGAGCTACTTGTGGTGTCTTTTCTTGCAATTTTTTGGCTTCCTTCCACGTCCCCCTGGCCTCCCCTTTTGGGGAAGCTCGAGGGCTTGGAGCGGTGACATCAGGGACTTGGTATATTGTCGGGCATATGCTTTGGCTGGTGCGTTAAAAGTCAACTTGAGTTCAGCTAACACCGCTAAGCCGTCATTGATATAGATCCGGGCCGTCTTTGACGAGGCCCACCTCCCCTGAACTAGGAGGCGATCTAGTGATCCATGTCGTCCGAAGTACATGGTGGCACCTCTTCTCCGAAGGCAGTAGGGGCGGAAGTCGTGGCCCCCAAGCTGACATGCTTCTAGAGCATCATTAAAAGTCTTCCTCCAACTGTGAGGTGTGCCGCAGAATAACGAAGGAGTACCTGGTGTGTGGAGCCATTGCCATAGTCTACGAAGCGTCTCCTCTTCTTTGATCGTTGCGCTCTCACTTGCTCCGACCTTTTTTCCCCCTTTTGTCATTCCGAGTGAAATGACAGCGGGAGACCTTGGTCCCACTTGAGTGATGTGGTTTTTTCGGATGCCCAGAAGCTCCCCGGTGCATAGGAGCCCATGAAAAGCAAGGAGTAAGGAGAGTCCGAAGAGCCCGTTGCCAGAGAAAAGTGAATAACCGACAAGGACGTGTAGCGCTTCCACAGGCAATGGTGGAGCCCGGTTGGGTATTTCATTGGTCTGCCAGGTTCTCAACAACCTCCAAGCGCTAGGTAGATGTCCTCTTATGGCTGGCTGCTGATCTTGCACTGAAGCGATCGTATCGCAGGCAAGGGCTCTTCCCTCACCAGTTTCCCAGAGGAATTCTATGTACTGCGAGAGGAGGTAGTCATGGCCAGCGGCGTCGCGCGGGAAAAGTCGCCCTTCATCTTTGAGGAAACTCTTGTATTTGTCCAATGCTTTGTTGTACCGATCTCTAGTCTTGCTCTGTACCGTAAGGTTGCGAAGTGGGCCTAAATACCTTGGAGATGCGCTGTCTGTCTTCTCACCATTTTTTGCGAACTGGCCGCCTAGACGGCCGATCTGCAGGGTTTTGAGAAGTATGGACATACGCCCGTACTCCATGGTTTCCCGAAGCTAGAAGTAGAGCATCTATGCGACAAAGCGTCCTTCTCATCTTCCTGCTGCTGCTTCGTCCACGCGACAGAGAATGTAGGCACACGAGACTATCGATCATATGAATGAATTTTGAGTGAAAGGTCTTCTGCTTCATGATCCGCCACTTGAGGGTGGTAAGAACGGCCCTCATCTCAAGCACGTTGATGTGCTCGGAAGAGCCTCTCCAGCGCCAGCCTGTAATGGTCTTCCACTGCCAGAGGGCGGCTGGCAAGCTGGCCCGAAGGCGATGATACCGCAGGGTTTCCTCAGACTGGGCCTGAATCATGATATCTTCGCTCTTGAGGCTGACTAGGTTCAAGAGCTTCTCCACTAGTCGTTGGCCTCCATCTCTGCTCCCCTCCACTGCAGGAGCATCCAGCGGCGGCCTCTGCAGAAGTCCTGTCACTGTGCTGCTTCGCCCTGGTGTGGTTCGATCTACACCCTCTTGCAGGACAAGAACGGGCATAGTCCCAACTGGCCTCCTAGTTGTGACAGAAGCCAAGTCACCACTGTGACATTCCAGGTGTTGCCAATGAGTGTCTTGCGCTCGTCCACATGGGCCTCAGTACCATGGAATTGCTTGCTCATGCACTGGAAGGTGTAATCCTTTGGGAAACCCATGATGACCTCCCTCTCAATGATGTTTGGCAGCCGTAGGCCACCACCAGGCTCCTTGACAAGGTTCTTCTTCTGATACTGGTAAGGGGGAAAGCGGTGTCGGTCTTGCTCCCATGATTGGCGCTCCTCCTCATCCAGTGTTGCGAGCCCCGCCGGTTTACGTCCTGGGTTGTCTCTCGGCCTTGAGGTTGTGAATGTTAGAAGCGGTTCCTGTGAAGTTCGCTGGCACCACCCCAAGAGGAATTGCTCGGTCTTCACCTCTGCCTTGAGTTCGATGGTCCTGTACTGCGCACTCCCGAACCCATAGGAGGCTGTAGCACTACTCCCCGGCCTGGGAGCAGTTCCCAGTCGCACCAATAGAGGCGAGGCCGCCGAGCCAACAAGACTCCAGCTGCGTCAATGCAAACAGGGGTATCCCCGAATGACTCTGTCATCACCTTCCCATCACCTTCATCCATGCTCATGACACTCTCAGCCATGTAGCGGACTTGCGCCCAGCAAAAGTGAACCCGTACCAGCTCCCGAATCCGAGAGACATGGCTGAACAAGCAGCTGCGATGGTCCCGAAGAGCTCCTCGTCTATTTGCATTTAATCCGCTTCTGGCATGGGGGACCAGCTCCAATGATAACCACTGCTGCCGGGAGTACCGAGCTGCCCAGGACCGCACCATCTCCTCATCGACATCCGCCACACCTCCTTCTATGAAGAGAGTAGACGGAAAGCGGCTCTCAAACACCCTGCTAGCTTCCTTCTTCACCTCCACACTTATGTGTCCAATAACCCCCAAGCCGAGGGAACCTGCAGCAACTCGCAATGCTCCTATTCCATCGAACAGGCCAATGGTGAGTACTGCCTGGCCGAACCCTGTCAGCCCCGTGCTGATGGTGACGCCGCCGCCAGTAGTTGACGCATCACTGGCCGTGACCTCCCCGCTAACTAGGAGGCGAAAGTTCAGCTTGGCCAAGGCGATCAAGCAAACGAATCTTGCAACCTCTAGCTTCACACCAGCCGGAAGGGGGAACTTGATGAAAGGTGGGTATCCACGAAAACTCTCGATGAACTGCCACAACTGGTTCAGGCATCCAAGCATGGGGCGCCGGAACATGCTGATGTAAACTAGTCCTCCAGCGACTACTTGGGCCTGCTTCTGATTGCACGATTCCTCTTGGAGCAAGAGTGAGGCTAGGGCAACATACTTGTAGAGCTTCACAGGCTTGGGGTAGGCCACACCGGCCTTTCCATCAACGATTGCTCCTTGTACTTCGGCCTTCAACGCTCGACAGACTGCCTTCTTTGGATGATGCGGTATGCCCCAGTCCTCATACTCCGCCCTTAGGGCCAAAAGAGCTGGGCTCGGCTCCCCTTGTAGGAGCTGAGCGGTCTTGTGGTCCATCTTCTCAACCAAGTCGAAGTTGTCGAGGTACGCCCTATGGAGGGTTGAGGCTCCTGAGAAAGGCCTGTCATTTCGTATCTCTCCTGAGCCCTCACTGCCTGGAGTTCCGAGTCCTGCTCGTCGCACAATGTTGCTGTGCACATGTTGTGCCAGGCTGACGGAGTTCTTGAACAGTTCTTGAGGAAGTACTTTGTTGAACGCCGAGAGCCGCCGCCAGTCCCTTGGCACCTTGAATATATAAAAGAAACAGCGCACATCCTCAGATGAAACCACTAGATCCTCTGTGGGCATGATCTGCAGTGGCCCCATCATGGCCCAACTCGGTAGGGTTGCGACGTCGCCTTCGAGAGCCCGCGCACAAGGTTGCATGGCCGTAGGTCCATGATGAGCCGGTGAACCGGGACACCCCCAACCTCCTCGTCCTTGGGTACGCCAAAGAGGCCGTTCAGAACTGGTGCACCTTCAACACAATAGACGTCAGCCTCCTGGATAGGCACGCACACCCCCTTGGCTATTAGCCCCTTGCAGACTTCCAACCAGTGATCATCGTGAACCAGCACACGTGGTGGCTTCATCTTCTTCTGGACCTCCCCGGGTAGGAGGTACTCTAGGAAGTGATCTACGTAATGCTTACAGCCAAGTTCACAAACCTCAGACAGATCAACCGACGCCACCTCTGCTGGCATCGCCGGGGCCAAGTTGGCCCAAGAGGTTGGGCGTGCACAGCGTACTTCATCACCGCAGTAATCAATGGTCTTTAACTGGAAGAAGCTTTTCCACGACGTCTCCTCCAGCCTCTCTGGCCATTCCATGACCGCTTGAGCCTCCTTATATAACCCTTTAACCACCTGCCCTTGAAGTTTGGTAGGATAGAAGGAATTCTCAACAGAGTCCCCATAGAAGCTATTCAACGCACAACACATACCCCTCACGATCACCACTTCTTGCTCAGGCGCCTCCACCATCTTCTTGAGGTAGAACATGCTGGTGGGCAACGGGAAAACGTCGCCCTTGGGCTGGGCCTTGCACCGCAGGTCGAGACCGATCTTCTCACATGTATGAACCAGCACACTCAATACCCAAGGGATGGCTTCGGCAAAACTATCTCCTGCACTTGGCGGTTTCACGCATCCTTTTTCAAGCGCGACCATGTCTTGTCGTTCGCTCGGAGATGGCAGGGAAGTAGCCAGAATACCCGGCCTCACATCTTACCCCCGGCCTCTGCGTCGACATGATGTTCAGTGGCCAGGCTAGTTGGAAAATCGTCCAGGCCTCCGCCCGGGTCCACCACTTCAAGCTCCCCTTCAAATGGAGCTTTTCCTCCCGGTGGCTCATAGCCTCCAAGACCTCATCCTCCTCATGCTTCTCAGTCACTTCTTTGCCTCCTCCTTGTGCTTGCCCTTCTTGCCTTTGCCCTTTGCTTCCTTCCCTTTTCTGTTTCCGTCTCCTCCGCTCTCTGTCCACGAACTGCTCTTCCATCCTTCTCCTTTCCCCCTGGACTGGGAGGCCTCCGACTTGGTCTTGGATTCCTCTTTCTGTTCCTCGTTGAAAGAACTGGTCGTTCCGGAGGCAATACCTCCAGTCGCTGCGCGATTTGCCACACAGCCCCCTGCGACACTAGTTCTATACTTTTCAGCCTCTGAACCAGCGTGTCGGCCGATTCGGCTATCCTCCCTTGAAGGATCAGGTCGATTGCAAAGCATAAGGTCAAAGCTTCTCTCGAAGGTGCTCCTTGCAATCTGGGCGCCATGGCCTGTCGGTAATACTGGATCGAGAGGGGCTGCAACTCCGACTCCTCCTGGTGCCAGATGCCTCCGGCGCTCGTCAACAAGGAGCCCTGCATTTCCTTGGGCGCTTGAGCGGCCAGAAGGCCCGGTGCCCTCTTTGCGATCCTCCGGATCTTGTGCGCTTCGGCTGACTCCCCGCTGTAGGAGCTGCCACTGCTGCTGGAGCTGTCCGTCGACGAGGACTTCTTTTTCTTCTTTGCCCTCTTCTGAGCCTTGTTGGCGAACCTCTTCCGGAAGCGGGGATCGGGTGACAACCCCGTTCCTCCTAGCACATCCTCTAACTTCTTCTTGGCCCCTCCTCGAAGACTGATCTTTTCGCGTGAGCGGCCTCTGCTCTGACCTCTTTCTCTGCTCCTCTTTTTCCTTTTTTCTTTTCTTTTTCCTTCTTCTTCTTCTCTGTACTCCTGACCTTTTCTCTTCCGCGATCTACTCCTACCCCTCCTTCGGCCTCCCCGCTCAGGAGACCTGCACCGGGTGGCTGCCTCGCGGGACCGCCCTCCACGACCAAGTTTCTCATCCCGACCAAGTTGCTCATCCATGGGAGATCCTCTCCCACTCTCCGGTAGATGTTGGCGCCGTGGAGGAGGTTGTCGGCATCGAGGCATTCCGGACAAGCACCCCCGCAAAGATGGACTCTCAGAACCTCGGCAGGATTGCCGCTTGCCCACTTCAGGAGGTTCTCTTCGTTGAATCCCTGGATCTTGAGGGAGATCTCGATGTCTGAAGGGGCCTCGAACATGGAGATCTTGGAGGGTTCCTGCCACTGCTGCATTAGCCCCCCAATAGGTGCCTTCCATCACTACTGCAACCCCTCTTCGAAGGGACTCTCATGGGATGTCCTGGCATCTGGCATCGCAGCTTGTCACCACACTCAAAGCTTTCCGCAAGCCTTGGATCACGAGCCACCCCGGGCTCTTCCTCTCTCACCTCTCTCGCTTCTCCTTCAGCTCCTTCACGGGCTGCAGGACGTCTCCTCGGTCCACCTCCCCGAACAGGAGGATCTCCTCGTCTCGCTCTCCTCAAATCTGCTGCTGGCCTCAATCTTGGGGGCATTGATGTAGGGAAACTCCTCAGCGACCTCCTTGGTCACCCTGATAACGTCGCTCCCTCTTCTTCGCACCCTTGTTCACCCCGTAGTACGCTGGATCTAGCTTCCAGTTCTGGATTGGCCCCTGCCAATATCGCCCTGTAGGCCTTTGCTTCGCCTTGGCTACCGGTAGCCTCTTCGGTCGTCTGGGTGGCAACCTGGACGGAGTTTTGGGAGGCTTCACACTCGGCTTGGCCTTCCGCTCCTTAGCACCTGGCTCCGAACGAGGGGTCCTGAGACGATCCTGAGATGAGCTAGGTCTCCTTCGCCTTCTGCCTCCTCGGCTCTTGGATTCCTTTCTTCGCCTGTGACTTCGACTCCTTCTGGATGAGTGACCACGAGACGATCGATGCCTCCTTTTCTCCTTGTCCACCTTCGAGCTGCTGGAGTACTTGCCCTCTCCCTCCTGTACCTCCTCTACCTCAACAAGGCCTGGCTTCGAAGCAGGCGGGCTCGACTTCTCCTCCTCTTTGGGCTTCACCCAACTCTTGTCTACTTGATCTCCTCGACGAGCCTCTGGTCCAGCCACGCTCCCCGACTTAGGAGCCGCAGTCTCCTCTGCCTGCGTCTGCTGTCACTCAGCCTCCGCCAGGCGATCAAGCTCCTCTTCCAGGATACTCGTCCAGATGCGCAGATTCTGGATGCCCCAGCCTCTGCTCCTCACGGGCAAGTTATCCAGCGTCCTCCAGAAGCGGTCCCTGGCGCGACAAAATCCGCACACCAAATCAGTTTTTGAGCACTGAATCGTGCAGAGACGACACGGGTGCATGCCCTTTGAGCCCAAACACTACACAAAAACGAGTTCACGAACGGGCGTCTTAATATCCGGGGCCGTATATACACAGAGTCTTAACACCTTGACCCGGGTTGATAATTCAAACAATTGAACATCCAGGCGTCAAACCTTAACCAACTTGCGGCTGGCAACCTGGCAACTCTTACTGCAGCTCTGCTGCTTTTGGTTGGTGGCTTGGTGATTGCCTTCTTTCTTGAAGCCATATATTCGCATATATGGCTCCAGGTTCGAACAAACAACAGCCAGATTGGGGATCACAGTGACTACAAGGGAAACCGTGGGAAACCGAAAGTATGCTGAGCTTTGTGGTTTGACACTGTGCGCGGCCTGTTGCCAGTAGGTCCGGGTCTTTGGGCATCCTTGATCGCAGCAACTCAAAAAAAGGCGTCGTGACAGCGTTTGCCATCAAACTCACAACCAAAAACTACACAAGTCTTGCTGTTGGCGGCTTTGGCTGCAAGCTGGAGGCCAAGGATCCCCCGTTTGTACTCGATGAGCTGGCGTGCCGCGACAGCCCTTCGAATCTTCTCCCGTCCTTCGGTCAGGATTGATGCCGCGAAGTTTGTCTTGGGCCCCGTTATGTCTTGACCCCCTCTAAAGCAAGCAATCCTGGATACAAAACTGCAGCAACATATAAAGAGTGTGGTTTATTTTTTTTGGTGAAATTGTACTTGAGTGTGAAGGGGTGGACGAAAGGTAGGTCATTAAGTTCAACTTTCACAGAGGTGAGAGAAGAGAGAGAAGAGAGGGAGACAGAGAGAGAGAGAGAATGTGAAGAACAATAATACTGTTTATAATGAGTGAATCATACAGTGAATACAGTGAACTGCAGGCCTTGAGCTCAGAGCGAGAAAACAAATAACTGCGTACACAAACAGCCTTTACTTTAACATGGTAGCGGAGCTGTGATCCAACAAGGTGAGCTCCTAGCAGCAACCAACAACACAACAAAGGCGAGGGCTTGATCCTACAACCGTAGGGGACTCTCCACAAGCAGGAGCAAACAAACAGAGGCAACAAGGGCTTGATCCCAGAACCCTGGGGGACCCTTGCAATGTCCGGGACAGCCTCAACAGTGCAAGCAATGGCAACAATGCAGGCGACAGAACCTGAAGCACAAGCACTGTCACAAATACACCGATACAAGCTGAAGCCTCCCTTTTACAACGGAGACCAAAGCGCGTTCGAAGAATGGAAATACAGATTCACAGCATACATGGGTCTCATGGACCAGGAGTACAATCACTTGCTACAACAGGCTGAGGAAGCAACAGGAGAGATGCATGATGTAGATTTAGTATCAGCAGCCACAAGCAGAGAACAAGGAGACAAATGGATACAATTGGCAACAGACCTGAAATACCTCCTGATCAACATAACAACTGGAGCAGCGGCAACAATCTGCAGACAATTTTAGCAAGCCAACGGCTTCGAGATGTACAAACAATTGCTCCTCCGGTTTGGCATCCCGGTTGGAACAAGAAGCCTTGGATACCTCACAAAACTCCTCAAGCCCAAGTTTGACACAAACAATTTTGAGGAGTCCTTCATGCAATGGGAGTTTGAACTCTCAAAGTACGAAAGGGACAACAATGCGCAACTGCCAGAACCAGTGAAGATAGCAGTCCTCTTGAACGAAACAACAGGACCACTGCAACAACACCTACAACTCCTAGCGAGTTCCATCAAACGATACTCACAAGCACGAAACATCATCATGGAATACTACAGGGCCACAACAGCATTTTCCAAAATGGAAAGACAACAACAAGCCCAATCATCAGCAGTCGCCACAAGCTTCGGAGGAGAACACGCACCAATGGATGTTGGTGCGATCGGCAAAGGAAAGGGAAAACACAAAGGAAAAGGCAAAGGAAAGTACAAAGGAAAAGGCAACAACAACTATGGATACAATGGCTACGGGTTCAACAAAGGAAAAGGAAAGCAACAAGGAAAAGGATATATAAAGGCGAAAGGAGGTAAAGGATATGGAAGCCATGGCAACGGCACCAACAAAGGAAAGAGTAAAGGAATCAAAGGAGCAAAAGGAAAAGATGCAACAAACATTTGCTACAAATGTGGTCGGCCACTATGCAAGAGTCTGCAGGGTTGCAATCTTCAGCCTTGGAGCAGACGATCAAGCAGGACAAGCATCACAGTACGATGCAACACAGCAATGGTACCAAGATGGACAGCAGACATACGATCAGCAATGGTGGACAAACGACATCAGCCAACAGCAGCAATTGGCACTACCACCACCTCCAGCTACACCGCAAAGCGGAACAACGATACATATGATCGCAGGCATGGAAGACAAGAACATAGCACGAGCAAGCAATGGAGACAACACAAACGACAATCAACGCAACCACAAACCGCAATTACTTCAACTTGATGATCGACAGCGGCGCGTCAACACATGTATGCCCACGACATTTTGCACCACAATCTCCACTATACCGTGCCCTTTAACACCAGGACAGGGACTACAACTACGAACAGTCACAAGTGAACAAATCCATGTCTACGGATACAAGTGGATCTACATGGAGAACAACAACAAACAAGCAATCGTCATACCGTTCTTTGTGTGTGACGTACACAACCCAATATTGTCAGTAACAAGACTGACTGAACAAGGCTTTGAACTTCAGTTCAACGACCAGCCCTCAATGCAGCACAAGTACGGCTTTCACACAACACTTGAACAAAGGGATGGACTATGACTATACTATCTTCCAGTGACGGTAGTACCCATCCCAGACAACATGGAGTGCAGGTCAGGCAAACGGAACAAGGAACAATAGCAATGCTAGCACCTATGGCAATGACACCGACAGGAGCCGAAATAATGAGAGGAGACAATATATACAGACCTGTGGCAATACAATGCGCAAGGATACCTGGTAAGGATACACAACCGATTGAGGAAGGCAATGTTCGTGCCGGACGACAAGACATGCCCAATTCCAACCGACAGGCTGGAAAATTTCAGACGAACAGTCATCATAAGAGGCGACAGAAGTAACGAAGACATCACAGAAGAATCACAGGCTCAACAAGCACCAACAGCGAAGAGCCTTGCAGGGACAAGCTTGGACCGGAGAAGCCTGGTTCAAGGTGCGACATGGAACAACAACACCAAGCCTAGAAAGAGTAGAACAACAAAGCGAGGCGCCAAACACCGGGGCCTGGTGGCTCAAACCCCGGGGCCTCACACAAACATTAACAACAACAACAACAACAACAGCAGAAGCAGCAGCAGGCGAGACAGCGTCAACAAGACGCAGAGTCACTGGCAAATCACAAGGACAACAACTTGCACCGGAGCAGACAATGGGAACAAGCGTTCCGCATCCATCACAAGTACAACCAACCCAAGACTATTGGGTGAAGGAAGGACCGTACTGGAAGAGAGTACACGTGCAAGCGCGAACAGAGCTATACAAGCCAGAAGCATCGCAACACGGGCCAAGCTTCACAAGGCTCAGCAGCAACAGGACATCCTGAGTCAAACCCACGAGTGGACAACGAGGATACCGAATTGACGACGAATGGACAACAACAACACCACAAACACCAGCATTTGAATGGACAGGCTCAACAAACTTCGAAGAGCAAGACGAGTACAAAGCAGAACCGGAAACAAGCGATGACGAGCATCAGCAAGCAATACCTGGAAAAAGCAATTAGAGCACCAAAGCAGCCAACCGCGAAAGAACGAGCAAAGCATGCACTCACACATCTCCCATACAGAACATGGTGTCCAATTTGCGTACAGGCCAAAAGGAGAGAAGACCACCGTCCCAAACAAACAAGCAAGATCCCAGTCATACAATGCGACATCACCTTTATCAAAGGGATCAATGACAAGCAGGCAACTCCCATCTTCACCGCCATAGATGTGGAGACAGGCATGGCAATGGCGGCAATGGTACAAGACAGACAGCAACAAACAAAGTACCTACAACAATGCCTGCAAAACTTCCTGATGGAATGTGGTCGTGTACAAGCAGCACTCAGCAGCACCATACTACAATCTGACCGAGATGACTTCCTGATCTCACTACTCAGGACAGTCGCAACAACGCTAGGAGGTCAGATGTCAGTGAGACAGTCGCCAGCATACAGTTCACAAATACAAGGAGCAGTTGAGAGGTTCCACCGAACACTCGCGGGACAAATCCGAACACTCCGGACACAACTCAACAACCAGTACAACACGATGATTGGAACTAACCATCCAATCATGCCATGGATACTGAGACATGCAGCATACCTGCTGAACAGGTATTCTGTCCACAAAGACGGACAAACGAGCTACCATCGACGATGGGCCAAAGACCACAAATCACCACTGTGTGAATTTGGCGAAACAATCAACTACATGATCCCACATCTACAAACACACCCAAAGCTGGAAGCGAGGTTCTTCATCGGACTTTGGCTTGGCAGAGATACAATGACAAACGAACACATCATCGGCATTCCGGGCAAGGTAATCAGAGCGCGCGCAATCAGGAGACAAACAGAACCAGAGAAATACAATCGACAACTCATGGATACACTTAATGTATTCTCATGGTCGCCCTTGAGCGCAACATTGTCTCTACAAACAGCACGCAAAAAACAGCTACATCCACCCATGGTGCACAGTGCAGCGACAGCAGGAGAGAATCAATACACTGGCGCACAAACAACCCAACCAGATACAAGTTCAAGACACGTGGCGATACCTCTTTCACCACAACCACCACCAGCGAGTGCCTATGCACAAATGGCAATTTCACCAACAAGCGAACGGAGCAGAACCCCACTTCCAACTCAAACAAGGAGAGAAGCGAGCGATGAAACGGCAGAAGGAAGCACAGCAAAGCAACAAAGAACAACCGAAGAAAGAACAACGCTCGAACGACCAATCGCGCAGCAACAAAGGAAGCAAAGAATATCAGCAGTAACAGTCACGACGAAGAAAGGAGAGGAGATTACAACAGCATCATGCGAGGATGAACAAAAGCAGGGCACCTATACAGGAATGCCTTCTGGACGCGATAGTCTATGATGCAGAAGGCTTGGACCCAACAAAAGTAAAAGCTGCGAAGTGGTAAAATGCTTTTCGCTCGGGCCTAAGTCAGGCGGTACACTTCTTGATTTGTGCAGTGGTGTATGAGTGGATGTCACTTACGTGTTATGCTTTCCTGTCACCCCTGCTCCACTCACACACCTACTGCAGTAGGCAAAATGCCTTCCCCTTTCGTAAACGGGGCATTGTGGTTCAAAATGAATCACATTTCCTGAGCTGCACACCCTGTACTGGTTGGCTCTTTTCATGAGCTTCAACCCATGTGCCTCAGAAATTCGAAGCTCCTGGAGGTATTGGTTCCGTTCTTCGCGAACCTGGTTCAACTCTTGTTGGAGCTCTTCTATATACAAATCCAACTGGAAAATCTTGTTCTCCATGAGCTCCCTTTCGTTTTCCTCCAGTGCCTTCGAACACCAGCCAGCTTGTGTTTCAACGCTGACTTTCTTCCC